TATAGATATGCATTAGGGATCGATCAATTTATTTTAACCATTGGATTAGCACTTCTTTCTTTTTTTAACTGCATCAATGGCTGAAATCTTTTAATAGACAACATATTTTTGTCAAATCAAGTGCACAAACTTGAATTACATGTCTACTATTTGCTAAATCGTAATCTTGGTTATAATCAAATCAAGGTGTTGTTTGGCAATGAGCTAATACAGTTAAAAAGTCAATAAAATTATTATAAATTGTCAAAATTTTAAAATCTCACATTAGGGCAAAGACACTTTAATCAAAATTTTCATCTCGCTATCGTTAATACACTCTTAAATGTATGATAAAAGTGTATGATATGATGAAATATCAAAACAAGAAAACCTCAAGACATGATCAACAGTTAAGAATGCATTAAAATATAGCAACAGAATTTTTTAGTTAAAAGATTATCGTATCCTTACATTAGCACAATTAATGAACCCTAATAAAAATACCATATTAAATTTTTAATGAGACTATTTAGTGTAATTTTTTTCAAACTAAAAGTTGATAATTATAAAGTAAAAGTTAAAAGTATTCATTTTCTAACTTTTAGATAACTATTTATTTTTAGTTTATTTAAACTATTCTACCACATAAGCTCTAAGTAGAAGTAACCTCAAATACTCTGGCAGAAATTAAAAAAATAATAAAAATACCATAAACAATTTAATAAATTGTATAAAATAGATGATTATTTGGGAATTCAATGGTTAATTACATTTAAGTTGGTTAGAGAATTAGTTTTTAGTAACTTTAATTTTTTTATGAAAAGACATGTAAAAAAGTAAAAAGAATAATTAATTTTTTTATAGTTAGTTTTTTACTAAAATTTCAACTTCTCAAAATAGGCCTAAAACCCTTCAACTACTAACGAGTACGGCTTTACTCTTCTCATTTTCCTTTATGAATTTATTCATTTTGACTTCCTTAATCATAAAATGTATTACTTTTACCCCCACTTCTAAAAGGGTTATATTTAAATGATTTTTATAGTTGAAGGGGTAAATACACACAGGTTTATAGATGATGAGGATAAAGTAATATTTTTTAACAGTTGAAAAGGTTTTAGTATAATTAATCCATTCTAAAAATTGTGAATAGGAACAAATCTAAGATTATTATTATGAGAATGCAAAAGTATGTTTAGGAGTGCAAATTTTTATAATTTTAAATTATTTTGATATAATATTTAATGTTTTTAAAATTTTTGGGAGCGTAATAGTCTCCACCTGCAACCCTCTAAATCCATCCTTCACTGTGACAAAAGGGTAATTTAGACATTTTGTCATGCTAATAGATACATGTTGAGATCTATATAAAGAAACCAAAAACAAGTCATAAAGTTCATTGGCTATACCGGGGAGGAGATAGGTATTTCTACTCTTAATAATATTAAAGACGGCTCTGTTTCATCTATTCAAATTAAAAATATCCAAATGGGACCTCCCTGTGTCTCAGACCATGACTCCAACAATGCGCCTTAGCTCTCAACCGTACACGTGGCAGTTACACATATATATCTCTGAATACATACGATTACTTCTGTGGAATCTTGATATTATCAACGATGTGAGAACAAATTGAGGTGATTAAAAATTGTTTTAGGATGTGACTGTTCACAGGTTATGAATCCCTTTAATGGGCATTATATATAAAGTTAAAGGCGGAGGAGTAGTCCACTAAGGTCAAGTTTGGCTAAATTAAAAAAGTGTACTTATTTCATCTTTTTATTTTTTTTGGGTCACATTAATCAACATCTCCTCTCTACTTTTTCTACACATAATACAAGAAAAGTCAAAAAGTGCACTTATTTAGTCTTCTCAAACTTGGCCTAAATTATCACCGGTTAGTGACCTATTGGAGAAAGTACCTCTTTCTATACATGTGATTCAGGTTTGATTTTTGGAAGGGACAAATTCTGCGGCTTTATAGTTAACTGTTTTTGGAGATCTTGCTTGTACTCTCCTTGAAATCTAGGCTAGTCTGTAGTGTGTGGTTAAACTCCATTAGTATTTCAGTAGTAAGGTCAAGTTTGGCTAAACTAAAAAAGTGCACTTATTTCATCTTTTTATTTTTTTTAGGTCACATCAATCAACATCTCCTCTCTACTTTTTCTACACATAATACAAGAAAAGTCAAAAAGTGCACTTATTTAGTCTTCCCAAACTTGGCCTAAATTATCACCGGTTAGTGACCTATTGGAGAAAGTACCTCTTTCTATACATGTGATTCAGGTTTGATTTTTGGAAGGGACAAATTCTGCGGCTTTATAGTTAACTGTTTTTGGAGATCTTGCTTGTACTCTCCTTGAAATCTAGGCTAGTCTGTAGTGTGTGGTTAAACTCCATTAGTATTTCAGTAGTAGATCCTTTTCTTTGGTTAATACTTCAGTGATGGGTCTTTTTCTTTGAGTTAGGTTAAATTAGACAGACAATTGGTTACATCGGAACCTGAGTCTACGAATGCATTTTTTTCAGCTAAAAAAAAAAAAAAAAACAGTTAATGAGGATAAATTATTGTTTGATACAAGAGTATTACGTGGCTATGTTACTGGCTAATTATAAATTTTATATCCTCTCATACTTTTCAATCATTCAATATAAGATTATAAATTTTACTATTTTCATCAATCAAAACACATGTGAGGCATAACGTGACGGTACCCCAGAACCAACTAATAATTTCTCCTTAATGAGTTCTCCTTGGGGTCATGGTTGAGATCCCCTCCAATCACCACTCCTACACACACGTGGTGGGTGGTGATTAGAAAAAAAAAAAAAAAAGTGGCCAATCAGGTGAAGAGGAGGTCAAGGAGGTGAGAAAAAAAAGGAGTCCGGGTCATTATTGGTTCTCCTTGGAACCTGTCAGTGATCTCCACTATGCAATTGGAGCGGTGGCCATACACGTGGCATGATTGAATGAATGTGTGTTGCTATTACACGTTCATTTTTTTTTTCCTTAAAAAATAACGTTAGTATAATTAGATTACAATTGAAAAATTTATCATTATTTCATCCATTCAAACTTTTAATCTCTTATTCACCATATTTTAAGATATGACTACTAAATTATTAGACAACACCCCAATATCTCTCCTTGCGGCTGATATGTGCTTTGGGCAACTCCAAAAGGCAGTTTCTTAGCCTTAAAATAATTATATAAAAAAAGTAAAAGGGCGGAACTTGGGCAACTACGATTGTTTTGAGAATTAATTTTTTAAAATATTTTTTAAATTTTTTATAAAAAAAATATAAAAAATAAAAAGAATTTTATAATATTTTTTAATTTTTTTTGTTAAAATTGTTAATTCTCAAAACAGGTCAAAGCCTGAATAACTCCCGAAATAGTTTAAGACTTGGATAATTTATTTCTTAATTTAATAAATTGGACAAAAGTATAAAAGTTTGAATTCAATTTGAATTGGGTTTAGATAGTGATATCGAGCAACTCAAAATTTAAATTATATATAAATATGTAAAATATAAAATATCTATAAAAATTATAAATCGTTAGAATGATGCTCAAATAATAGGTAAATTATAAATATATTTTTTGAAATTTACTTAAAATACAAATTTTTTGTAGTCCTAAAAAAATTATAGGGTAACTACCAATAGATCCTAGTAGTTAAACTTAATTCTCATTAAGTCTTATTGAAAATAAGTCTTGATGAAATTATCGCTAAAAATAATTTTTTTGTAATAATTTTTTATATATGTCGCTAAAAATTGACAATTAGTGACTTTTTTTTGTCATGATTTTTATAAATTGTTACTAAAACTTATAATTAGTGACATTTTTTATGACAATTTTTTCTAATAGAACTTATTAGACAATAAGTCCACTTATTAGGACTTTATGACAAATTTTTCCCATAGGACTTATTAGACAATAAGTCCACTTATTAGGACCTACACGTAAGTATCCCAAAATTATATCACGCCCCTTCAAGTTTCTAATTGTATAGCAAATGACCATTTTTATTAATAAATCATCAATTCAATTAATAATTTTTAATGATGTCATAAATATATTTCAATTAACAATTCAAGTAATTTTATTATTGTATAGAAGAGTAGTTACAAATTTCATTTTCCTGTTAAATAAAAAATTATGATAATGGATATTTGTAATTTTTAAAACCACAAAGGAAATTTATATTTTTAAACAAATTTTAAGAAGTGTATTTGTAATTTATCCTAAAATAATGAGAGTTGTTAGATCATATTCACTATTTTTCAAATTCATATACAAATAATATAAACACAAAACTCTATCATTTCCTTTTAGAGCATCTCCAACCATACTCTCTAAAATGCCTCCTCAAAGTACACAGAAAACTACCTTCTTTATTTTGCCTAACTAGTTTAGTTAATGTACACTCCAACTATACTCTTTATTTTAGTTAACCAATCAAACTCACTTAACTAATTTTTAAAAGAAAACCATTATAAATATTAATAAATAAATAAATAATCTTTTTATGACATGTTGCATATATTGACATGGCATTTGCAAATATTTTCAAACAATCATATTATCTCAATGGTCATATTTTCAAACGGTATTATTCTCTAACGGATATATTCCTAACGGTCATATATTTTTGTTTATAAAAAAGATTTGCTCTTTCATTTTTACCAATTTGAACTATATTTCTCACCTTCATTCATTTTTTAATTACCATGGCTCGCAATACCATGAAAATGATTCTTAACGACTTTGACGGTGATGACGAATTACAGCTAATAACGATAGCTACAATGGAAGAAGAGCGACTCAATAGAGAAAGATGTTCGAGAAAATGTAGTGGTTTCATTGAAGGCCATGCAGTTATTTATCGTGATCGAGTTCAAGGCCATAAAAGACTTTATTAAGACTACTTCTCAGAAACAGCTATATATATCCTGCCCATTTATTCAGAAGGAGATTCTGGATAAATCGATCTCTCTTTCTTCATATTCTATCTATGGTGGAAGTATACGATCCATATTTTGTCCAGAAAACAAATGATGTTGGAATCATTGGTTTGTCTTCCCTTCAAAAAATGACAGCTGCTATGAGGATGCTCGCTTATGGAGTAGCAACAGATTCGGTGGATGATTATTTGAGAATTGGTGAAAGCACAGCCATAGAGAGGCTAAAACACTTTGTTAAGGCGATGGTTGCAATGTTTTCTGAGAGGTACTTGAGGAGCCCTAACAACGATGATATTTCAAGATTATTAGCAAAGTACACAGAAAACTACCTTCTTTATTTTGCCTAACTAGTTTAGCTAGTGTACACTCCAACTATACTCTTTATTTTAGTTAACCAATCAAACTCACTTAACTAATTTCTAAAAGAAAACTATTATAAATATTAATAAATAAATAAATAATCTTTTTATGACATGTTGCATATATTGACATGGCATTTGCAAATATTTTCAAACAATTATATTATCTCAACGGTCATATTTTCAAACGGTAATATTCTCTCAACGGTATTATTCTCTAACAGTAATATTCTCTAACGGACATATTTCTAACGGTCATATATTTTTGTTTATAAAAAAGATTTGCTCTTTCATTTTTACCAATTTGAACTATATTTCTCACCTTCATTCATTTTTTAATTACCATGGCTCGCAATACCATGAAAATGATTCTTAACGACTTTGACGGTGATGACGAATTGTAGCTAATAACGATAGCTACAATGGAAGAAGAGCCACTCAATAGAGAAAGATGTTCGAGAAAATGTAGTGGTTCCATTGAAGGCTATGCAGTTATTTATCGTGATCGAGTTCAAAGCCATAAAAGACTTTATCGAGACTACTTCTTAGAAACAGCTATATATATCCTGCCTATTTATTCAGAAGGAGATTCTGGATGAATCGATCTCTCTTTCTTCATATTCTATCTATAGTGGAAGCATATGATTCATATTTTGTCCAGAAAACAAATGATGTTGGAATCATTGGTTTGTCTTCCCTTCAAAAAATGACAGCTACTATGAGGATGCTCACTTATGGAGTAGCAGCAGATTCGGTGGATGATTATTTGAGAATTGGTGAAAGCACAGCCATAGAGAGGCTAAAACACTTTGTTAAGGCGGTGGTTGCAATGTTTTCTGAGAGGTACTTGAGGAGCCCTAACAACGATGATATTTCAAGATTATTAGCGATAGGAAGCAATCGCGGGTTTCCTGGTATGTTAGGGAGCATTGATTCTATGCATTGGAAGTGGAAAAATTGTCCTACTGCACGGAAAGGTATTTATTCTGGTCACATCCATGAAACAACTATTATTTTAGAGATTGTGGCTTCTCAAGATTTATGAATTTGGCATGCCTTTCTTGGGATGTCCAGATCTCATAACGACATCAATGTATTAGATCGTTCTTCTATATTTTCACTCCTTACTCAAGGTCGTGCTCCTCTAGTCAATTACTTAATCAATAGAAATGATTATATAATGGGATACTATCTTGCCGATGGTATATATCTGCAATGGGCAACATTTGTCAAAACAGTCTCATCTTCACAAGGGAATAAGGAAATATATTTTGCAAAAGCTCAAGAATCGGCAATGACGGATGTTGAGCGAGCATCTGGTGTGCTCCAAGCACGTTTCGCGATTGTGAAAGGATCTGCACGTTTTTGGAAACGGAAATAATGGAAAATATTATGATGGCATGCATAATAATGCATAACATGATTGTTGAAGATAAGAGGAATGCCAATGGAATAGACTTTAATTATGATACAATTAGTGAAAGTCTTCCACTAGTGTCTCATGAGCGTACACCAGAATTTTTTGAATTCATTCAAAATTATCATCGCATCAAAGATAGAGGAACTCACTCCAAACTCAAACAAGACTTGGTCGAACACTTATGGACACTACATGGAGACTCCTTGTGAGAAGTAATAGTTGGTTCTTATTGATTTATGTACTAGTTTATATGCTTTAGTGAGTGTGTTTTCAAAAATATTTGTACTACTTTATGTGCTTTCAATAATATATCACTAGTGATTTGTTTTTTATCTATGATTTTTAGTGATACTTAGAATAAATTTTTTCTGTCAATAAATCCCTAACTTATTTTTGGAAAAAAAAATTATAATCATTGATATAAAAAAAAAATTGTGATCATTGATCATTGTTTTATTAGAAAATTCAGAAACTAAAACAATAAAACAATATATCATTGCAGCTTGTATCATATTTACTCTAAATAAAACAATACAAAATGTGCTAGCAACAAGCCATATAAAAGTGATGTAATGAATTTAGCTATTTGACAAACCATCGGCAACAACCCCAACTGAAACTGTCCCAAAACATCACAAAATATCTCTATTTTCAACAGCATTACAACTCAGCAAAGCAACCCCAACTGATACAAGATGTGCCAGCAAAGCCAAAAATAAAATACAGTCAAATTTAAATTAAATAAAAACATAGTTTCATAGCTAAATAGAGACAATTAATTCCTTTTTTCAAGGATTTGCATCTGATGTTGGCGAATATATTGTACTTGCAATGGAGGCACCATACTTGTATCTATTGACATGATTCTCTCTTCCTCTCTCCCTTCCTCCAATGCAATCCTTCGTTCCTCTCTCATTTCCTCATTTTCAATCCTCCATTCCTCTTGAAGATAAGATTTCTCAAATATCTCTATTTTCTTCTCATTTGTTATGTTGTTCTTTACCTTTATCTCTTCTAAGAGCTTTACAAAAGGCGACTCTGTAACATTATTTCGAAGATCTTTGGCTTTGTTTTTCTTTGCGGCCTTCCTTCCCGCTGGTCTTTCCACAACATCATAGTTATCATTGTCCCCTAAATTTACTGAATCTGGTGTACAAGGGGTAAATGTTGCTAGAGATGCATTCTTTGTGCTTTTTTGCTTCTTCATTGTTGTATCTTCCATCCATTTTGGTTGGGATCTCAATTCATTCCAACAACGCTCAAAGGGAAAGTTCGATTGATGCAAGTCTTTGTACAATTTTTTCACATCCTGAATCTGAAAAATAGATTAAAGAATAGTCACTATCACGTAATGAATAATATATATTCATTATAGGTGTAAAATTAAATTCTAGTAATACCTTGTCTTTTTTAGTCGAACCACTTTGATTCAACCGTTCAACTTGAGCAAAACATCCACAAAATTTATTTGTGACAAGTTGAATCATCGACCACCGATTCATTAGAGAAGTTTGAGTTCTTTCATAATCGAAGGTTTTGTACTTGTTGAAGTTCTCCTACACTCTTAACCAATATGCCTTTGACTTTTGCACATTTCCTCTAATTGGATCTAAGCTAATATTAAGCCATGAAGATATGAGCATCATGTCTTCCTCTACGGTGAAGTTCCCTTTGCGTTGTGATGTCTTTATAGTTTGAGTAATAATTTCAGGAGAGAATAATAAAGATTGACTATTTTGTTGAGGAGATTCAGTGGTAAAATCATAGTCAAGGTCAAAGTCGTCGTTCATTAGGTTGCTAAAATATGTATTTCCTTGATATTTCGTCTAAAGCACAATTGTTCATACCACACAAAAAGAAAAAAACAAAGAGTATCAATTCATGGCCTAATTCCAAAAATAATGAATTTCAGAAGGGTGGACATAATACACTCAGAGTGAGCCATACCTGCAGCTTATTAGATTTCAAAACCAATAATTCAAGTAAGATACAAGCAACTGCAAAGTAAAGCAATAGAATTTTTGCTACTTAATTTTTATGTTAATTCTCATTGATATTGTTGATCAAAACAAAATGTGCATTATATCAGCAACAAAATTTAAACCGTGTTTAGAGGCTTGGCATATAAAAGTGATGTAGTGAATTTAGGTGTTTGACAAAGCATATTTGCAACCAAACAAAAACAATCACTAGTGTTGTTTGCACAATCTATAGGTTATGTTTTTCTTTTAAAACAGGTTTTGTTTGCACACTAGTGTTGTTTGCATAACTAGTATTTGACAAAGCATCACTAGTGTTGTTTGCACAATCTATAGGTCAAGTTGAAAAAAAGGTTCTGTTTTTCTGTTAAAAGCAAGTGCTCACTTAATCCCTATTCAAAGCATCTCTTATTTTCCCATCTTCTATCACAAATGAATTCACAGAGTGAACACAAGAGCTGTGAAATAGAAGATATGATAGAACAGGTGAAATGTATGTTTCAGCAACAAGAGCTACTAAAAGGCACCCAAAAACAAGACTAGGGAGAAACAGTGGGAAAATAAACCAAGAAGACTGCTAAGTTATCAATTAAAGAAGCTAGATCTACCTATAGTTTGGAGACAACTCCTTACTCAAAGGATTAAACATTTATCAAACCTAACAAATAGAAATCCTTCACTTATCATTCAATTTCCATTCATGATGCAAAGCATAGGAACAAGAAGAACAGCATATCTGCTGTTATGGTTTTATTTTCATTTTATGGGAACAAGAAGAACATCATAAAACCAAGGAAAAAATTGCTAACAGTATTTCTACTACTGGTATACTAGAAAGAAAAACCAAAATTTTGCAAAGGCTATGAAATTGATCTTCGTTAATGATCATTGCAAATTTCTATGTTTTAATTTCTATAATCTGAAAATGTGTGTACCCATAAATAATTACAAATGCAACAAAGTTTAATGGAACAATTTCATGGAACAATTAAAACCAGCAATTACACATATAGCAATAACATCATTTTTTTCCTTAGCAACAATTAAAACCAGCAATTTGCAGCATGACCCAACAACCATTGGAAAAATTTCAGTACACAATTTCTTTGCAGTGAACAATTTTAGTACACAAACCCAATTTTTGTAAATAGATTGCCCTAAATCATGTATTCCTTTGCACAAATTTAACATAGCAAGGTAGAAGAGGGTTTGGGATAAAATTTCACAAAAAAGTGAATAGTTTGAGAAGGGACTCGTACATGGGGAGAGGGGTTTGAGAGAGGGTTTTGTAGAAGGGGAATGGGTTTGAGAGAGGGTTTTGGAGTGCAGGAGGTGGTTCGGTATATAGAAAACGATTATAGATAGATGATGGGGAAGAACAGGGACGTGGAGAAAGAGAAAGAGAAAGAGAGCCATACCTATGATCAATGGGCTAGAACAAAGATGGAACAAGCAGCGATGGAGGCCAACACAATGGCGGGAAGAGTGCTTTGCCTAGCAATGGACGCTGGCTACCTGTGGAGAGCCAAAACGAGAATTGGCAAAATGCCTCCTCAGTTGCAGAGCGCGTTGGAGCTTCGAAATCCAACTTCAATGGGCAAAATGCCTAATTCTCCCCTTTTGGCTCCTGCGTTGGAGATGCTCTTAGCACTCAAAAATGGCAAATAGGTTCATTGATTCTCACATCTCCTCTTTATCTCACTTTCATTATATAAATTATTTATTTTGATGTTATAAATAATTTTACCAAAAATGTTAATATGAATTTTAATGAAATAATCGGCTTGGTTGAAGAAAAAAAAATTATGAGTAACTCGGGCTAACCCAAATCCGATTTATTATATTCTTGGGTCGAAGTTGGGCAAATAAGTTCAGGTTGCAAGTTGAGTTTCAGAGGATTTGGACAACTGTCAGCATAACTTGGAATAAACCTAGACAATTTTTCAATTCGACCAAATCTGCCAAAGTTACGCCTCCTATTAATAAGTAAGAACCTTAGATATATGTGTTCTATGTCACTTTGATCTTCTAAATTGTTGTTTTGTCAATGAATTATCTCATATAAACTTATAAATTTTATAATTCTTTTATTCACTATGTGATGTGTATCACATTATTAAAGTGGATTTACATCAATTAGGATGAAAAAATTATCAAAATTATCAATTTATACAATATTTTTTTTTAATTTGGCCATTAAAATTTGCAATTTGAAGAAACTGATTGAATTTTAAAAACATCATTCTATTAATAAATTCATCCCAATTGAAAATGAACAAATTTGGCTCAACTCAGAAATTTCATAAATTAAACTGACAAAAATGAAATTTAAAAAATCAAAGTGACCAAAATGCATACTTTTTTTAGAAAATAATAAATAAATTTGATCCCAACAACTTTTGTTCCTTGTGAGATATTAAAATTAGATCCAATGTGAAAGATTTAAGAAAAGGGTATGCTAATCGGACGGCCAATAAAATTAATGTGGGACCCAACTATAAGTTTTTTTTGATAGAATGAACGGTCAAGATGGAATGATTATTGATTAAAGAAAAAAAAGTATAAATAAGTGATGGAAAACTAGAAAAAGCACTAAAAACAGTGAAAGTCATGTTACTTAATGGAGCCAATTGCCATGACTTTCGGACTCTAATTAGACCCATCAACACTCTCTCACTACCCAAATAATAAAATTATTAAAAAGCCCAATCAATACGTGAAATCCAACTAATTCTTGATATGCTTAGCCGTCCATCTTGAAACACTTTTTCCATCATCAATAATGTTATTCTCTCTCTCTCTCTCTCTCTCTCTCTCTCTCTCTCTCTCTTCTTTTTATGTTATTTTTATTTTTATTTTTTATTTTTTTCAATTAGTTTTAATGTTGTGAAGAGAAGGAAAAAAAAGCTTAATCCAATGGGTATAGTGCTCATTAGTGGTTGCATTTTGATATGAAGGATCCACCAATTGTTTTATGAGGAAGGTGAACATCATGCCACATGGCACCAATGGGACACATATACATCAAATATCCATTTTGGAGTATGTATAGCAAATCTTACCTCTTTATCTACTTATTTATGATGAAAAGTTTAAAAATAGATTATTTTTATTTTTTCATGGATACTACTTGTTGAGATTTAAAAAAATATATATAATAAATTTTAGAGTTTTAAAAAAATTATGTTGATTTTCCTTTTAGTAATATAGACTGTGCAAAAACATAAAAATAAACGATACACAGCATGCATTTCGTGTAAAAGAGATGATAATATTATTTTTTTAATCATATAACAAACAAAATATTGATAAAAATAGGATAATTGTTGTTTGAATTAAAATTTCAAAGAAGCCCAATGTAATTGTCAAAACTACGAAACTTATTATATATTTTTTTTAAGCATCAATTTACCCTTATAATTACTAAACTCACCTTAAATGGGTAAATATTATATAAACAATTTTTGTTGTACATTTTTTTTAATCAAAGTATTTAAACGGTAGGTACAAATGAGCTGCACATCAATTTATAATATTTTTTTTAAATAGATTTACTCAATTGAATGTGAGCATGGAATTAGTACTTTCTTTTTTCTTTCTAGACTTGATGTTAATGTTTGGATTTTATTGTACGCAATGCTGATTTTTCTTTTGATAATTTTCTCTTAGCAAACATATATTAAAAAATAAAAACAAATTGGTCATCATTTTGTCACTGCACATCACAACAGTAGAATTTTGGCTACAAATCCAAGGTAAACTTTTTTTATTTTTATTTTGTTTTATGTTTTATTTTTATATTTTAAAATTAGATCCAATGTAGCTGTGACAAGTAGTGACAACACCACATTGTAACTCTAGATCAGTTCTTTTTACAAAGACCTCAACTCATATAATAAATAAATATATTAATCAACATCATGTTATCACATACACAAGAATATAAATACTTTTTATTATCACAAACTAAACAAAAATTTATAGACAGAGAAATAAAAGTAAAAGTCAAGAAATCTCCTTTGTTTCTTTCTCCTAACTTGTTTTTTCAGATTTTGTTTGTTTTTCAAAATCACAATTTTTTGCAAGAAAAAAAAAATATAGATATCTAGCAGAAAAAGTCTATAGTCAACAGGATATATGCAATAATATTCCTCCACCCCCCAAGTTCATCATATTTATGTTAGAAATATTAAAAAAATAATAATAATTTTTTTTTACTAGTACAATAAAAAGGGATTGAATAACATCAAAATAAAGCAAAAGAAAGCTGAAACATTTACTTCATGTACAATACAACAACAAGAGGTCATATACAAACACAACCCCCTTCCCATTTCACCTTCCTCTCCCAACCATTTATTAGATTCCTCCAATGGTCTTCTCCTTTTCCCATTGATTGTACAGTTTCCCAGCTGAGATTACCCATCTCAATCCCTTCATTTCTTCTTGATTTTTGCTTTCTTCAGTGGTTTTTCTCAGACTTTAATACACAAACTCCTCTGGGTCTTTCTGGGTTTTTTTTTGGTTTTGGTTTTGGTTTTTGTTTTTGTTTTTGCTTTTTTTTCTGCACAACTCTCTCTGGGCTTCTTGCAGAAAAGCTTCTCATACCCTGTAGTATATATGCCATAAAAGGGTTGTAGAGACTAATCATAATTTTCTATTTTCTCAAATTTTTGGGTTAACTTTTTCTCAAGAAATTAGCTTTACTTTGTTTTTAATTTTTAATTTAAAAAAAAAAAAAAATTCCTTGCAATTTTCTCGTTTGAAACTAAAGGGAAGGAGAGAAATAGATACATGGGCAAGCAAGGACCTTGCTATCACTGTGGTGTCACAAGTGAGTTTTTGTTCCTTAAACAAATTTTTTTGCCATAAATTATAAATATTCAAGAAAAATGGATCCTTTTGTGCTCTTTAATTCTAAAATTTTCATAATTTTTTGATTTGCTGCAAATGGTTTTGTGTGCATAGATTAATTTGTTCAGTGATGGAAGAGAATACCCATTTACTGGTTTAACTTTAAAAGGAGCTGATTACCTGGACAAACAAAAAAAAAAGAAGGGAATAATATGTGTGCTGTTATGTATGTTATTCTGTTTGTATTCGGTTCTAATAGAACTATAGGTGCCCTTGAATCTTTGAATATGAATACTGATTTGAGTATTGAGTTCGTTTCTGGAATTGGGTTTTTTTTCTTTTGAATTCTTTTTTTCTTTCAGCTTTTCGTATTCCTGTTTGGTTGTTAAGAATTTTCTTTTGACTCTCTTGCCCCATATGCAACCAGTGAAATTTGGGTTGGAGTCTTTTCTGGACTGAGCAATTTCAGAGTTTATATTTGGTTCTCTTTGCTTTTCCCTTGCCTTGCAGGTGCTTCTGTTGAAAATGAACCCTACTACTGAGTCAAACCATAATTTCCTTTTTCTTATCCTCTTTTCTAAATTCTTGATTCAATTGGCAAAATGTACTTTTTGAAACACTCACGTTTTGATTCCTTTTTGTGTCAAATCTAGTTCTTTCTGGTTTTCTGGGTATGTGTCCATTATGCTACACTCCTGGAAAGACTTACTGACAAACAATGAATTAACTTAACCAACAAAACTGTCTGCTTTCAAATCATATTCTTCAATATCTGCTTACTAAGATTGTTCTCTACAGCCTTCTGCCTTTAAACTATTCAATTTAATGTCTATTTTAGGAATCATTTGTGTCTTGATACATCTTGAATTTAGCTATGAACAACATTCATGTATTTATGTCATTGCTTTCTTCATCCTAGTGGCATTTGATTTGTTATTACACAGCATAGTGAGTAGTGCATTGTCTGGGAGTTCGCTTTTCAAAGCTTTTATCTTCAACAATCTATTCATTTGTCTTTGGTTGTGCTTAGACATCAACAACTGCACTCCCCCATTTGGGTTTGGCTATGCAATTCATTTCTGCTGCAACTTGAAACGGTCATTAATTCCAACATTATATTTTGTTGGTCCATTAACTCGTTATGGAAATGGTAGTGTGGTATGGACAAGTATTAAGTTCTCGTTCAGTCAACAATGGCGGGGTGCCTTCTAGCCTGCCCTCACCAATAGCTCAAAAGTTAGAACGGCACCAAGAGTCGAGAATGCTGAATGATTTTTGTGATCTAGGAGACGCCCTATGTGATTTGTGCAACATATTTACTTCCAAGGACCTTGCCAATTTTGCTTTTAGCACAAATGGTGCTGCACTCTCAATCTTAGGACAGCCGTTCGAGTCTTGGGCTCTCGGCTGATATACTGAAAGTAGGAAACTCTTATTC